GGGAGAGAGGGGAAAATGAGGAGCTGACACCAAGGGCTCAAGTAGAAAGCCAATGTTTTGAGAATGATGATGTGATGATGGCAACAGATGTACAAATGTGCTTGACACAATTTTTTTAAAAAAAGAAAAGATAAATCAAATAGTGAAACTCTCCCACATTTAAACCAACAAACACCACCAATTGCTTTCCACCACCCTTAGAATAAGGAACCCTAGTGGCACGCGGGTTAAGCACTTGGTGGCTGACCAAAAGATGGGCCATGCCAAACCCCTTAGATGCCCAGCAGGGAAAGACCTGGTCATATGCTCCCATAAAGATGGAAGCCCAGGAAAGAAATTGTGCAGGAAGTTCTATGAGGTCACTGTGAGTCAGCGTCAAATCAACAGCCCGACAACCACCTTCACCTTCGATGAAGACCAGCTCCTCAGACCGTGTGGTGACTGGTGAGCGTTTGTTGTTCTATAAGTCAGTACTCTTTCTTCATCTTTTACGAACAGACCTTTAATGCAACTGAACTATTGAACTGTATGTGAGTCACATGTCAATAAAACTGTTAGAAATAGAAGTATGGAGAAGAGTCTATCCCAGCACCAATAAGGGGAGGTACTGCAATCCTCCTGCTTGGTCAGACCTGGACCTTCTGTCCACTCACTGGCTGGGGTGGGGTATTGTACCCGGACTTAGGAGGATGGGGCAGGTTCCCAAAGGAATTAAAAAATTTGAGAAAGAAATGGCTAGAAAAATTTCAAATTTGTTAAAAACTCTAAACTCACCAAATTAAAAGTTCTTCCCCCAAATATATCAAGAATCCCAGAAGAGTAGGAGCCCAAGATACATTTGTGGGGACTACATAGGAAGTAAACCTCTGGGATTGCCTCTGTCCATATAAGGGTGGGAAGAAAGTGGTTACTGAACAGATGAGTACAGAAGGTCAAAGGGATAAAGCTGACGTGAACAGCTACAACTTGTCAGTTGGTCCCTCCCCACCCCCCAGCCCCCAGATGCAAGCTGGACCTGATGGGGATTTCAACACTTGCGGTATTTTTGTTTGTTCATATTAGGGTTTATCTCAGAGGTGTCATGTCACTGGGGTCACTCTCTTGAACTTGTGTTACATGTTTTTCTGTATAGGAAACCCAGGACTGATGAAGCTATCGGTACAGAAAGTAGAATAAGGGTTTCGAACAGGGGTACAGAGGTGGTGGTGGTGGCAGGGTAGAAGGGAGATGAAATCAAGGAGTCCAGGAAGAAAAAGAATGTTTGGAAAATGACTGTGGTAGCACTTGTACAATCCTGCTCGACGTGACTGAACTATGGAATGATATATGTATTAATCACCAATGAATAATCTACTTAAAAAATAACTACCCCCCCCAAAAAAATACCAGAAGACCATATCAAGACTTATCATAACCAAATTGCTGAATTATCAGTGAGAAAGACAAAATTTACAAATAAACAGAAAACCAAGCACATTATATTTCAGAGAGAAAAATACAAATACTCACTATTTTTCATTAGAAGAAAACAGAATACCTTAAAGAGCTAAAAGAAAAAAGATGTCAACCTAGAATTCTATAGTGAAAATATCCTTCCAAAGTAAAGGGAAAGTAAGAGTATTTTCAAACAAAAGCTATGAGAATTTGTCGCCACAAACTGCACTATTGGGAACAATGAAGGACTTGAGATACCAGATCTGTCTGGTGATAAGTGATCTGCTTGAAAGAATGACAAGCCCCAGAAGTGGTAATAGATGGGTAATAAAAACCTTCCTTTCTCATCTTAACAATTTCTTTAAAGAGAATTAATCTCTAAAACAAAAATACTAACAGTGTATTATTATGGGCTTTATAGCATACATAGAAATAAAGTCCATGACAACAGTACAAAGAACAGATGGACAACAGAAAAGTGGGTGAAGGGAGATGTCGGACAGTGTGAGATATGACAAAACAATAATAATTTATAAATCATTAAGGGTTTGTGAGGGAGGGGAAGCGGGGGGAGGGAGGGGAAAAATGAGGAGCTGATACCAAGGGCTCAAGTGAAGAGCAAATATTTTGAGAATGATGAGGGCAACGGATGTACAAATGTGCTTGACACAATTGATGTATGTATGTATTTTGATGAGAG